GAAGTTCAGTCAATCTCTCCATCAGCCGATGCAGAATTGGGGCGGCCGCCGATTCCGAAGGAGTTTGAAATTAAAGGCCACCAACCGCCTGAATGAGACTTTCTAGGAAGTCTGACCCTAAGTCGGGGAAAGGTTGGTTGATGGCCTAGGCAAAGATGGCCTAAATATCCGCCGTCATCGGAATGGCCGACAGAGGGGCTAGATCAAGATGTCCCTAAGAGAGAGTTCAAATGTTTAAATTTCATGGAGAGAATATGTTAAGGATCGCTTATGGGAATTTTTACTTACTTCCAGGCGGACCGTGGTTATGGAGGGCGCAAGGAGCGTCGTCGGTCGGGGAGGACGGGCAACGGGCACCGCAATAGCCGACTCTTCGGCTGCTGCGAAAGGTCGCTGCGGTGCTGACCTGGCCCCTAAAAGTTGAAGTATGAAGTATTTAATATTTGTTGAAATTGGTTCTTAGTAATGAAAGAGGAGCCTGAAATTTCTACCAGGTTGACAGAAGTCTCCGAATCAGAAGAAGAAATCTCTTCTATTTCCTGCAAGGGACCTCTTGGCTGGGCGGCCGTAGGTGGTTCTACTGCCTGTCCTGCCACCTCCGGAATTGGGACTGCTGCCATCGGGACAGCTGCACCTGGGGCGGTTGCAACCAGTGCGACTTGGACGGCCGCAGTTGGGACATTTCCAGCAGTTGGGCCGGCCGCACATGAGAGATCTCCAGCAATTGGAGCGGCCGCGATAAGGGCGGCTGCAGCAGAGGCGACTGTAGCAGGATCGGCTGTAGTTGGGGTGGCTGCAGAAGGTGCGAATGGTTCCTCGCTACGAAAGGAAGAGTCCGAAGCCTCAACTGGCAGTCCGCCCATCTGTGAAGCAGTTGCCTCGCTATCAGAGGAGACCCCTGTTACTACCGGTTCGGGTGGTGAAGGCGTCTGCAATAAATATGTTAGATACTTATTCCAAGTGTGAATTTTGAAGTTGTGAAAATTGGGTGTTAAGGAAATTTACCGGGTCTCTGGGTGGTACTGGCAAGGATTGCCTCCTGGTCGGGGCCCCTTCCCGACCACTCATCGGCTAAGAGGGAAGGGATTGCCTCCTAGTCGGGTCCCCCTCCCGACTGATCATTGGCAGAGCAAGTAAGGGTGCATGCGTGCGGATGGGTAGAACCTGCGATTAAATGACATGGGTCAGTGCATGAATTGTTTAAATGGGAGGAAAGTAGTAAACATGAGTCGGTTACTTGAGGCTGGTCGGTTTGCAAGCTTGGTGGTTCGGCCGGGGCTGGAGTCAGTTGGACGGTCGGTGCTGCCAAGGTCGGGCCTGATAGTAAGAGTAATATAAGTTAGGAAGTTAAGGAAATATCAGAATAAGTCAAGACTTTTTGAACACACCTAAACGGGGCCGGGTCCTTACTGGCATCCAAACCGATAAGAAGTCCTTCGGGGCCTGCTGGTCTATTCCAGAGGTCGGGACTGTTTGGATCTGGGAAGCTTTCCTTTTCCTTTTTGGGGCGCTTGACCCAGCACCTGGGGCGGCTATCTTTCTTCGGGCACTGATAGGTCGAGCCGCCCCTAACACCAAGGCAGGCTGGGGCAGGAGAACACCCAACAACCGATCTTTTTCGGGGGCAAGCAGGGCCCATGTGACCGACCACCATTCGCGGAAAGTCTCGACAGTTTCGGGAGAAGAATGGAAAGGAATGTAAGAGTTGGAAGTTAGATATGTGGTAAGTCGGTAAAGATAAGAAGAAATCAACTCAGGGATGACCTGCCCGTCCGGACTTTGAGGTATTAGGTGGGGACGGGCGATAGGGCCAGGTAAGCCTTGGCGGCAGCCGAATTGGCGTGCCAAAAATTGAGCCTGATAACTAAAAGTATAAAATGATTTTTGGCCTTTTTTATTAAATTTTTTACTAACAAATAAGGACCTGGGTTTAAAGGCAGAATCCCAGGCGAAAGAATAGGTCGGATGAGGAAGAGGGTCAGGTTCGGCCATGGGTGAAGACACAGGAAAACGCCAAAAAAGACAAGACGTGTAGCCAGCATACCTCCTATATACGTAAAATCGGGAGTTTCTGCGGTCGTCGGCTAGAATAGCGGTTATGATGGGGTCTGATGATTGTAGGTTGTCGTGGCCTAGGCAGAGTCGGTTAAGGGCTAATCCCAAAGATTTGTCGGGTGTTGGAGAAATAGGAGGACGGCCAACTTGGAATGCGTCAGGAAAATAAAGCCGGAACCTAAGTTCCAGGAACCAAAAAGGGCCCGATGCGGCGGTATCTAATTTCTTACTATCACTATCTACAAGATGGGTACTAACCCTAGAAAGACCTTAAAAAAGATTTGCTAAGAAAAGGGTGCCAAACGAAAAGAAAAGACCTGAGGCTATATGAATAGCTAGGTTAAGATGGGAAGAAAGGACGCATTTGGAAGGAGAGACTATGACATACCACAGAGCCAGAAGAGAAGGAAGACGACATGTTCGCGGTCGGTCATTGGAGTCCCTGCTGTCCCTTGTTGGTCGGTCGCGAATTTGGTCCAACCCCATTCTTTTATCCAGCTAAGGACCAGCCCAAATGGTCCGCCTCCGGCTCTTGCCCATCCAGGGCTCCTATCACAGGGTCCTCCCCCACGACGGGAAGATGGGCGATCATGGCCACATCCATGAGATTCGGGCTTATGGGGCCCGTTGGTAGGAAAAAGACACCCATTTCTAAGTGCCAGAAGGCCGCCATCGCTAGGAGGACCTTCTCGTGCAAATGGAATGGCAAAGTGGAAAGGAGTATCGCCTGGTCGATTTGTTGGCATTTCCATTGCTCTTGGAAATGTTCTGTCACCTTGTTGTACCAAGTACGATAGGGGTCCTTAGGGTCCGTCAGATGTCTTTTGATGCTACTCGTGGATTCTGATGGCATTGTAGTTGGGATTGTTAACGGCGATGGGGTTTCCCGCTTCGAGTACCTCCCTCATCCGACTGGAGTCTTCGGGAGTCATACAGTATGGGCGGATGGTGGGAGTCAGTACCTTCGTGGCAACAAAAAGCACTTCTGGGGCGGTTGCAAAGAGGTGAGGAGAAAGGTACATGAATTTCGTCTTTCAGCCACCACAAGGGAAAATATATCTAATTAGTATTCATTTGGAGCATGAGAAAGACTTATAGACCAAATGCTTTTATTTATTTATTTTTTTTCGGCGTTAAAAAAAATTCTTGAAATGAAGGTATGTTGAAGCTTAAGCTTTTTTGAAAAAAAAATAGATTTATTTTTGTGACAATTGAAAGGCCATATAGTAGAAAGTTCAGCTGAAAAATACAAAGGATCTAAGGTGTGAGTGATTCATTGTCGTTTTTTTGTTACAAAAACTAGAAAGTGTATTAAAATCTATATTGGGATCCTTTGCAATACTATATATTTTTTTACTTTTTTTTTCATTCGTTTAAATTTTTGTTAATTATTTTTTGAACTCAAGCTCCAACCTTATTTTATAGCTATTTATTTTAGTTCTCACCTAACAATTTTGTTTTTCTAGATATTAGATTTTAGCCCACTTACCCCATATATATATATATATCAATGTACCAATAAATATATATAAAACTTGGACTACCCCATTTCCCATAATGGTTTTGTATTTAAGACCTAATTGAGAACATAATTAAAAGGACATTAATTTTTAAATAAGAGTCTTTATTCAAATTTTTCGAATGTATAATTTTTTTATAATCGGCTTGATGCAAGTATTGATATTCTTCAATACTCAGAATTATTGCTGAAGGGAGAATAATATATGGTGATCCTAGCTTTGAAGTTAAACATACACTTTCACAAAAAATCCTCTATAGCCAATAAAGGGATAATATATGCGCTAAATCTGAACCCATGAATCTAAAATAACTTCTGTTAGTAATGCTTAGGTCAAATATGTCGAAAAGTAAATAAGTTAAAAACGTTAGACATTTTTTTAAAGATAAATATATTATAAAAACCTGGAGGTTATCTACAATGGTATAAAACCATTTACGTCTGTCATACAATATTTCATTTAGTTTGTTGGACAATTACAGGTTATAAACTAAAAAATATATATATTTTTCATATACATTTTCGACCAAAATTAGTTACTTCATGCTACTTTAATAATTATAATTATTATATATTTTTCTGATGAATTAAATTTCTATGGACTAACAAAAAATGTATATGGCAGGGGCTATGTGAATTATCTTCCGAGAAAACATGCCAGCAAAATAATACACTTTTATTAACAATCACAGTTGAAAGAAATGAAGAATATTTTCTTGACTCCTGTAAAGTAGTGGCGCTATATATTGCTACATATTGAAGATACATGCGGTATATATTTCACAGCATATAATGTATACAAGTTTGAAATATTATTATTATTATTATTATTATTAATGCAATATTGAGAACGAGGATGTGAGTAGATCTCAATAAACATCAATTCTGGCCCGTCCACACTAACACATGAGTCTTTATAGTCTCTATACTCTAAACATATTCGTTACTACTTTGAGGATAATAATATAATAGGTCCATGGAAATCAGAAAATTCATAATTTTTTAAAAGTTAATCACTCAGTTAAAAAATGAAATTCATTTTCATATTATTAGCAAATTAATGAAATATATTATATTTTATTTAACAACTTGCTTCATTATTTTAGTCGATTGAATATAAATGAACAAAATTTATATGGGCTAGAATAAGTAAGCTATTTTTTTATTTCAACTGAATTTTGGGACCGACTTTCAAATGTTTGAGAGTTTTTCTTGTAGCCCAAAATAATTATAGCTCACATAAAAAGACTTTTTCCTATTTTCAATTCGAATTTAGAAACCTGGATTAAATAAAAGAAAAAAAAAAGGGGAAACAGTTGTGGGTTTTCTTTCAAGCCCAAAATTGATTTGCAAATACATGAAACCCTAGCCTATATAAATTGGTTTACCCTCTTCTTTCACTTACTCAAATTTGATACAGATCTAGGGTTGGCCGAAATTGTGAAGAAAAAACCAAGCGAGTATTTCCTTTGAGGTACAGGTGAGAAGAAAATTATTTTTAATGGTATGGTCTATTCAATTTTACAAACAACATAATTTTTAAGATTTTCCTCTAAGAATTACATACTTTTCTTTTTCGTATCAATTGGAAGATTTTATACTTGAACAAGCTTGTAGTAGAATCGATCGAAGCACACAAAGTGCCGAAACTGACTTTCGTACATTAAATTTTAAAATCTTTTAAAATAAGAAGTATGTTAAATCTATATATGATATCATATGCCATAAATAGAAATTGTATATGCGATATTTATATCCCCGTGTTTCTGCTTCCTCATTCATTTTGTTTTTACCCTTAGAAATGAGTTTCCATATTATGCATTTTTGTGGGGATCTTGTTCCCAAGTTTCATAGGATTTCATTAGCCATAACTAATTCATCGGATTTCAGTTATGATATATGATAATATAATATATCATAGTGTACATTATTGCAGATCACTGTAGCAATGGAATCAACTGGAGTTCCTTCAACATCGAGGGAGTCTATGGTTTGTCTTGTTCCGGCCTGTCTTTGCTTATTCTTACAAATAATCATGCCAAACATCTCTTACATAAGATTTTAATATTTTTCATAGTGGTTTTCTGATATTTTATATATGTAAGAAATTTATATACAGCTATATACATTTCTCTAATTTCTCGTTTTGTATAACTTCAAACCATGATTATGTTGATTTGTTATTTGGAAATACATTTACCTATTTTGCCATTTATGTTAAGAAATGGTCAAATGTGTTACTATTAATATTTCGTATTGATACCTATGTCAAATTTCCATGTGTTGGAAAAGACTGGAGTCAATATTCCATCCGGAGACTCTTCTAGTTTTCCAATTTAGTTGCCGTATATGTCTTTGTACCCCACACCAGTAATTGAACCTCTGGTATGTAATATTTTCCATATTGTGTTAAAAGAATCATCTATCACTTTAAATTCTTTTTTTCTATTTAATTTCGCTTATAAAATGTGTATGTTCACATTCCATAAAAATATTTGTCCTTTTCTTATAAGAAGAATAAGTATGTGTATCCAACATCCTATTGTTATTTTCGAGAAGAAATCATCAGATAGAAAGTTAAGGAAATAATTTAATATTTAATAAAAATTAAATACTTGGATACGTATTAAACTTGTTATTCTAAAGTATAGTACCTTGGTTGAATGAATTATATTGAAAGAAAAGCTATCTAGGCATGCCTTATATTCAATGAAACTACAATAATAGAATAAATTATTGTGTATACCTATTAGCACAAATTTTAACTTTACATTCTAGGTACAATAGCTAGTGACAACAAATAAAATTATATTATATTCAAAATGTAGAATGAAGTGCGTAGACTCAAAATCACTTCATTAAGAAGGTTAACACCAATATAGTCATTGAGTAATTGTAGAAACCTCTCCTTTATGAGTAGAATTTTCATCTATTTTTCACTAAAAAGACATATTCCTGATCATTCTATGAAAACACCAACGCTTACACATCTCTTTCATTCTAGTGTTACAATCATGATGTCGAACATTCCTTATAAATTATCAAAATTTCTCAACAATAGAAATTTAATTACAGGAGCTACATTTATCCCCGGAGGAAAATACGCATGGTTTATCAACTACCATGATTGAAAAGAGATGGAGAATATTCTTTAGACTTCTCCAACGTAGTGAGCCCTTACATTGCTACATATTGGAGATGCATAAGGTACGTAGGTTACAACATATTAAGTATACAAGTACAAATTATTATTACTATTATTGTTGTTGTTGTTGTCGTTATTGTCGTTGTTATTACTATTGTCTAATGGTACAATAGGTTGAAAGAGGAAAAATTACTAGGTATCAATCAACAATCCATGCACATGAAGTAACGACAACGATTGTAGCCATGAGCGAACATATAACAACAATGCCCATGGTTCTAATATTTAACCACGTCCATCTTCAAAGAAGGAGCATGTTAACCCTACATAAACGTTTAGGGAATTGGATAGTGGAGCAGCGCAACTCTAACAATTCAGAATGCAGGGACAAGGTAGCAAATTTATTGTACTTTTTTACAAATTGACATATTATAATCTACGTCATATTTACCCTTGTAGCTGACTCTTGAAAAACTTATTGCAGTATTACATTCATACTATTATGGGGAAAAAGTTCCGATCAATAAATGAAGTCATGACATTTATATTATGCGATGTCTTTGTTGAAGATTTGAAGATGGCATAAGGTAAACCATTAAAAACACTTCAAAGATTTTGGCTTATCATTCACGTGATTTTACGATGTAACACTTATTTTGTTTTGATTTTTCAGGTATTAGAATTTCAGAAGGTTGCTGATTTTGGGTTCACTATATCTACATAGTTATTGTTAAATAACGATAGCGGTTAAGAAAGGTTTAGGAGAATGTGAATTTTTGTATAACTTATTTATGTCATGTCAATGTTGTTTTTATCAACCTCTCGAATTAGTTCATATTATTATTGTTGCAATGTAAATTAACTAAATGAAATTTGTGTTTGTTTGGTCTGTTTCGATAATTATTTGAAGAGTGATATTACAACTTTGAAATAGTTTTCATTATTATGTATTTTAGTTGACCACATGAGAATCGATCAGGGAAATTTAATTCCAATAATATAAATTTTAAAATCATTCAATTTTTTTTTGTTTCATCTACATTATTCTTTTCTCCAAACTGTCTTCTTTTTCCACATGCTTCTTTTCATTATGCAATTTCCATAGGTGGAAGTAAAGGACTGTAAAAATGATTAATAATAAAAGAAACCTTAAGTTTATTTCCAAGAATTTTTGAAATTAAATAATTGATTCAACATTTAGATTGAAAGATTACACAATCATCCAATTAGAATGCATTATTGTTAGAAAAAAAGTAGTATTCAGTGATGAAACCATAACCAATATAAATAATACATATCCATGAATTTGGTATATATCACTCTCCAATTGAGCGCCTAATTACAAAATCATCTACTCACCCGAGACAGTTACAACATTAACACAACAACATAGTTGATTGGGCATCCATCGCAAATAAAAAAAAAAAATGATTCTCTATTCCCAGAGGGCAAACCCTAATGATCTCTAATAAGGAAAAAAGATGGGTTATCCATTTCCCCATTTGGGATATGATGAAAAGAGATTGATGAAAAGGTTACTAAAGCTAATTAAAACATAACTTATTTGGCTGAATTTTTTGTCCCAAGTACAATGTAGCTATGCATCCATTTGATGAAACATTTTCAATTTCCTTCTTTAACAAAGAATCAGCAATATAACAAATTGATCTTGGCTTACATGATTTAAGATTTGGAAGATTACTATAATTTCTACTAAATTTTCTAATGCTATTAAAATGGAATTTAATAAACTAAAGTTAAAATATACCCATTATTACCTTCAGTACAATATGGCCTTAACTTACCAAGAACTAAGTTGGAAATATTAATCTTCAAAAATCCCAGGAATGAAGTTATCCAAACAATGAATGTGGCTGGAGGAAATTTGGTTCGTTGAATGTTAAAGATTACATGAAAAAAGTTAATTAGGAAAGAGAAAGGGAATTTTGTGTCTGCGAATTTTAGAATTTAACATTCTCATAATTAGAATTTGAATAAGTAGAGTATCCATAGAAGAAAGCAAAAGTGAAGATTTCACCCAAATATTGCCATTCCATGAACAAACCTTAATCAATATTAAGTTTTTACAGTATTCGGATATTTTGATATGTACAGCATAGCCCGACCTATGTAGCCCAATTAGCTTGTAGGCTTTAATATCCACCGTACGATCTAAACCGTCCATCACTTCTATATATTTGTACCTATAGAGTAAATGTAGAGTTAGTGTTGCACTATCTTTCTCTTTAGGTAAGAAAATTTCTCTCTATATTTTGCATTTGTATTTTGCTGCGATATTCTAGTTGTTTTTAATGAATGTTGTATTACGGTTTTTTTTGTGATCTTGCGGTTGTTTTAGGGATTAAGCTTATGAAGGTATTTAAGTGATATTATGATCCCATTTTGGTGAACCCTTTATGAGAGGTTTCCGGGATGTGGTTGTTTCCAGGAAACAGTTTGTGAGAAGTTTTTTGAGTATTTTTTATACGGCTTATATATTGGGACTCTAGTCATTAATTAAATAAGTGTTTTTTTGTTTACCTTGAACTCGGAAATTAATTTTAGCTTATAAAAAATGTATGGTTTTATAAACCAACATACCTTTCCTTCACCTATTCTAACCTAGAAATAAAGATCTCACTACCAAAAAACTGTCTATTGTAGTAGTTTTATGGTCTATAACAATAAATTTGTAGCAAAAAGTGGTTTTGTTATGAAAATTTTCGTGACAAAAAAATTTATATTTGGTCAACTTTTATTTTTATTTGTTTCGCTTATTTCTTTGTAACAAATACAATTATAACGAATATCGTCCTAAATATATTTATTACGTAGGTCAAATCGTAACAAAAGAAGAAATATAATATTTATATATAAAAAAATTATATATATACATCTAAACAAAATTGTTTTAAAAATTAAAAAAAAAACTAAAAAGAAATATGTAAAGGCGTGATAACACTTTTATAAATCAGATATACACACAACATCTCAACACTTTTCATAATTCGATGTTCATTTCTCCCCAAATCGATTGCCATCCCTCCTTAACCCTCATCGAACAATAGCTTCGCTGTCGGCCACGGTTCCACCGGCGATGGCGGGCCGTTGTCAGTCCAAAAGATAATCCAAGGTTTGCCTTTGTGTTTCTTTGGGTACCCAATTGTGTTACATCGCTTCGGTCTCTCCCTAGAATTCGAGTGATTCACATCTTGGTTGTGCAACATTTGTTTTCCGTCCACCTGTCGTCAGCTGGTGCCGGCGCCGGCTTATTGTGCCGGTTTGTGGCTCTCCATTTCCTCGTCTGGTCTCCCCCATCGTTTTGTAAGTATTGTTGTTAAAATATTTTGCAGAAATCCTAAAGTTTGCTTTTATTGATAATCAAAATAAGGGGCCTATATATAGGCAATCTCAAACAGACTTTATAGACTCAAATCTAAATAATCTAATTTATGAATAAGATCAAATCTAGATATAAATCTACTAAATCTAAAACTAAATATCTAAAATATCTCAACAATATTATAACTCAGCTATTCTTTGACACTCCCCCTCAAGCTGAGGAATAGATGTCTTCCATTCCCAACTTGGATACAAGATCATGGAAACTCGAACTGTTCAGCCCCTTTGTTAGAACATCGGCTAATTGTCTCTCTGATAGAACATAGGACATACATACTAACCCTTCCTCCAGTTTTTCTTTGATGAAATGTCTATCAATTTCAATATGCTTTGTCCTATCATGTTGTATAGGATTATGAGCTACATTAATAGCTGACTTATTGTCACAGTAAAGCTTCATAGGACCCTCCCATTTGACTCTCAAATCATCCAAAATGATCCTT